CCCCCCCCCCCCCGCTGGGGGAATATACGTGAAAATCTGCCCACCCCCCCTCCAAACCGATGACGTAGCCTAAGAGAGATTAATTGTTGCTTGCCCGGAATAATTTGAAACCGAGCAGCAACTATCCAATCATAGACCGCTACACGGATCTATGTCGAATTACGTCGTTATGGTAGAATTTGAGCGTGGGAACAATTTTGCTCCGGTAAAACTGTTTCCCCAGTCTTGGTGCTAAACAACATCAGAAAACTTGACTGCTTTGGCGCACTAACAATTGGTCGACTTTGATGCTGAGTTACTTTTAGGTTTTATCGTGGATCTGACAGCTTTGGAATCCAAGCAGAATCCAAATGCCTTCCCTTCTCAGTTTTTCCTAGTCTTAGAGTTGATATTGCACTGACGACATTCTCGGTAATTTTAAATATTATGCTTGTCCTTCCAGAAAGTTGTTACGAGCTATTTGTATGACTGCCTGTGACTTGTCTGCCTGTACAAAGCCCTGGGAAATCCAACTAGAGATTGTAAAAGTTATATACCAAGAATTCTATGCAGAGGTGAGGGAGAGTGACACGCAATATAAACACAGAGAGCTTAATGTTGGTAGCTTGTGACTTGAACTGTTGCTTAAGATGCTAGTATACAGATCACCATTGCCCTCAAACGAACGGATACGCATCAAATATTAGCCCGAATTTTAGAAGTTTTTTCTGGTCGCTATCTGTAAGAAAAACTCCGATTCTCTTGTTCTTTACTTCTCAAAAATATGCCCCACCTTTACCTGGGCGAGGTCTAACAAGTCACATATTCCTGGTGAGGTGATATATGGGTACCAGTTTGAAGGAGTTCAGTCACGGTACATGTGTTTTGAGTTGTTTTGGCCACGTACAAAATTACCTTTATGTTGAAGGAAACCTGAAAATAGTAGTTTACTAAGATAGAAAACCCCCAAAGAGATAATACTAAACCATAAAGGAACAAGGATGGTTAAGGATGGAGAGGATTAAAACAGATTGCAAACGACGAACTTAAGCCTTTCAAGATGCGCAAACACTGGCGTAGTTCCTTTAACACGGATCGAGAACAGGTAACACCGCATACACTGATAACGTCAAGCTAGTGTTGCTGATATAATTCTTAATTGCTTCCCTCTTTTGGTATGTGTGTTATAGCCAAACAGAACCGTTCCCCATTAAAAGAAGTATGCAATATTTTCGGCTTGAGCAGAGGCTGTTGCTTTCTCACTTTATGTACAGAAAGCAATAGTTTTGACTCGGGTTCGTTTTGTTGGTGTTGTTAGGGTGATCTGGAAAAGGCCCAGGGAAAAACACCCATTGCAATGAAGGACCGTAACACGGCTCATGAGCTACCAGCGCACCAGGTGAGGAACGCTACTGAACTTAAACTGACACCACACAGCGAGACAGCTGGACCATTGACACAAGCAAAAGATTGAGGAGTAGCTAACAGATGATAGTATTTGATGCGATAACAGCCGACGGCTCAGTTCAGATATGCAAACGGCCAGATCGGAAAACGAGTATGAAATATCACATACTTTGTTCTGAAGATCAGAATTTGGAAAACTTCGCAGTATACCCCCACAAAGTAAAATCCAAGAAATTCCCATCCCCCAGTGGCAGGAGCGCGTGATATTTTGAAGTACCTTTTAGTATTATTTTGTTTTAGTACTTCATGTTAGTTTCATAACGACTTCGTAAATCATACAAATGTAGGTCGCGCTTCACTCGATGAAGACGTTCCCTCGTAATACGACCAACTATCGAAGGACGACTAGTGGCAAGTCTAGTTACTCTACAGACCAACTAATAAAATTACTAGTAATATTAACGCCTTGCTCTGGGGTTTTCTTTTTGTTAGGTTGGTTTCCTGGTTGGAATCTGTTTGCCATGTTATGAGCTCTTACAGAGGTGTATTCCAGATACAAAGCCGCTTGTGGACGGATCTCAGTAAGTTTTGTTTGTGTCATGACCGTGGGCATCATTTGAGTTTGGCCTTGGCCGATTTTTCAAAGATTTTTTCTCGTCTTATATTAGTCTCAGAATTGTACAGCCTGTTCAGTTTCAATAACATAACACAAGGGCCGCCCTGGGAATATAAGGCCCTAGGCCTCGATTCTAAAGATCGAGCACA